ACACATTCTGATCCTATAAGGTATGTATGGATGAATGATTTTAATGATATACATGTACGGTAAATTTATTTGTTTATGTATCCAGTATTTCTTAAAAAATTCCTCATAATATTTCACGTAAAATATGATCAAATACCACACCATACCATCAAATATCATACTATATTTAGGTTTATTACAGTATAACACTATTAAATTATGCAGCATTACTATTTTATGCTGTAGATCTGTAATAAATAAATAAAAAACACTCCTCAGCAGATAAAGGTTGAACCATTTAGGTTCTAATATGGGATAATACTCAGAAAAACATGGACTTTCTGATGGAAATTCTACGTAATTCACCATTTTAACTGTCATCTTTAACCTGTATATAGGTGGTAAACCATATCAAAAACTGAAACAAGATTAAAACGTCTAGACAGACATTTTATTTTGCGTAAATTAGAGATGAAAATACTGGATTTTATGAGCTAACAACAAAAGGTAGCCAACATATTTCTCTAATTCATTGTTAGAATTTTGATTCTACTGAAGCATAAATGTTTGATATCAATCTTGGTCACTTCAATACTAAAAACAGAAAATAACCAGAGTTCATCTACTCGACGATTGTTTGTAGTTGACTAACAATTAAAAACGTTGAATATTATAACACAACATTGAAATTTTGGCGAAATTCACTGAAATAAACCTTAATAAATTGGTATCGTGCTCACATACATCCGTAGCCAACCATTTAAATAGTAAATCTTTGAGATAGTGTCATTTGCTTGTTAAGATTTGATATTTTATCTGTGATAATTTTTCCCTTTGTTTAAACAGTAAGAATTGTATACTTATTTAGTTACATCATGTAAAGAAGTAATTGAAATTTATACCCATATGCTTTACTTTTGATCGGTTGGATGATATATTTAATGTCCAAAATAATACTGTCAAAATGAGACACGTGATTTCTAGGGATCTAGATTCCCCACCAAAGATAACTATATTTTAGGTATTCTTTATGGACGTTTGGGATAAGGTATATATAGGTTTCATCATGAACTGACATTACCTGAAGAACTACAAATACTAAAAAGAACCATATGGTAGTTTCTTATTATTTAGGGAGTCCTCAGCAGTGTTCAGTGACGACCTCTTACACAATGAAATATAAGGATTTCGGGTCTAAAAGCTGTTTCTAATAATAATAATGCTAACAAATAGTGGTGAAAACTACCTCTTAAATATTAGGTGAACATGAGAGGATTGAACTAAGGATGTTCATGCCTATAAATGTAGTCGGGAAATTCTAGTGCCTATCGCCCTAGTTATGCTGTTGAGCGAATATGTATAAGGATATTTTTCATTTGTAATTTTAAGACCTTATATGAACTTAGGTAAAATACACATTTGGTTAGATTGTTTTCTTAGCTAATCTAGGTAAGCGTTGATGAAGTTTTTCACACTTTTCAAATTATTTTACAGTTTTCATAAATTTTCATTAAATATTAAAATTAATATATACATATTTCCTTGAAAAAGCTTGAACCAGACAGCCAGGTGAAACGTTGGATTTACTTCAAATTCACTTCGCTGAGATTATACAAATATATTATTATTACTATTTAATGTCATACATCAACTCGGTGTCCAAATACTGTGAAACTATTTGCTCTAATTAAGACGAAAGTTCTTATATATGTAAATTAATGTATCGAATATTGACTTATTACTCTCAGACTCTAACTATTATTCACAAATATTTCTTGTTTTCAATTTCTCAAGGTTTATTATTTGTGAAAGTTACATAATCATCAAAAGACTATTATTGTTGATTTAATTAAATAATTGTTTCCTAATTACAACTATACAAAGTGTATTCGTAGTTTTGGTATATTTTTTAAACTATTTGTGATTACTTATGATATTTATGGAGATATATTATACCCCTATCCTACTATACTATTCTACTATATATATATATATATATATATATATATATATAGGTAGGTAGAACTCTAGTTCTGATAATGAAATATACTCTTATTTAAATGGAAATTATTTATGTAAATAATACATATAACATTGTCTTTAAATCTAATAAATATTAAAGAAAAAATTAATTTAAAAAAGTCACGTAGACAAAATGTACGTGATTTAACTATAATAGAAAATGTAAATGAATAACAGACTAAAAACTTCTCAAAACAATGATGATTAAGTTTTATAGGCTAAAGTTTAGTAATGAGACATAAATTTATTAGAATCAAAAATAGGTAACATCTATTGATAGTTATTTATTTCTGATATATTGTAAACTGTTAAAGCCGTCTTTATAGGTATTTAACAGAAAATCAAAGAGCTTTATAAGTTAAGCTTATGAACAACTAAATTTTGATCATGGGATTTCAAAGTTAACTTTGTTACTTCATATTTCATTAGTATTTCAAATCACCACTTGTCTACCTAAAAAATGAACGTTAATTCTATTTAGAATAATCTTTTTTGTTAAAAGAAACTTCTTGTTGTAAATGGGTAGCAATGAAGTTTTACATGTATATAAAAATTCTGATTTTAAATTGTATGTTTCAAAGACTAGTATGATGATTTTCTGTAAAGTTATATTTACTCTTGAAGGTACTAGTGGAATCATATATATGGAAACTCTTTTATATATTTTATGAGTACAACTCCCTTTGGAATATATTTGATTGATTTGTTTTCTGTTTCTACGTGTGAGGATATCCATCAATTTACTTTTACTTATTATAAGATCTATTTTTGTTGAAAGTAACTCAATGTTATTAAAATCTCAGACCGATTGACTCCCCCTTCTTTTCAGCTGAACAGAAATGAAATATAGATCAACAGGGGTTTTGTGGAGAATTTAGTATTTTCATAGTTCAAATCATGAGTCAATTGAAGCTATCGTTGGATGCCGGCCGGTTCAGTGGTCTATCGGTTAAATGCTCCGGCGCGAGATCGGTAGGTCCGGTGTTCGAATCTCTCATGTGCGGGATCGTGGATGCGCACTACTGAGGAGTCCCATAATAGGACGAAACGGTCTTCCAGTGCTTCCAGGTTTTCCATAGTGGTCTAGCTTCAATTGACTCATGATTTCAACTAAGAAATGAATTACTTCAAAATATCTACTGTTAACAAACATTATTTTTTATAACTCAGTGAAAGTCAATCAAATAATCCAAAGGTTATCACAACAATCACAGAGTTATGAGCAACATAGAAGCTGACACATTTTAATCGATTTAATTAATCACATCACACTAACACAATGAAATGAAATCATCACAAAAAATCTCGTAGTGTTAGAAGTAATGACAGTATCATTATGAATAGAAAAGTCTAGATGTAGAAAGAGAACAGAAATTTAAAAAGATTTTGGAATTCAGGAGGTAATAGAAAAAAAGATTGAATGTACCTACATCACTGTAGATAATTCTAAGTCATGTCATCTAAAGTCATTAGTCGTTGATTGTTATGTCAAAAAAGTTAACCATCGTTAAATACAAAAACTGTGGTACAGAATTAAACTCCCAATCAAATATAAAAGAGTCATAAACATCGTAGGTGAAATTGTTGTATCTAGAGCTTAGATTCTTGCTTGTCGCGTACTAATAGACTATTGAACGATCGAACCCACAACATCACAAGAGAGAAGACAAAAGATTAGTAAGTAGGAATGTTATTACCAACACAGTGTCAATCATGGTACAAAACTGTCAGATATTTGTAGTTCATAGTAAAAACGAAATCATCATTTCAGTTATCCAATCCACACACAGGGGGGTTATTAGCATCTGTCCAATTGGAAAACTACACGTAGTGATTCTGGAATAATCTTCCCAAAGATAATTGGATGGAATATGTTTGGCTCCTTCTGAGCTTCTTAGAGCTTCTTCAAGTTCACGTGTGAACTCATTGGGATATTACAAATATATTATTTATTTACAAGTGTCAAATGTTTAAAAGCCTCAAATTGAAATAAAATAACATGCCGGCTAGTTTGCTAGTCATAATTATCTTTATACAGATTCCAATTGAAAGCACATTCTGATACATTTAAATTCGTATAATTAATTAGATATTATAAATTGGCATTTATCTCTTCTTTTTCTCGATAATATAAATAACTTTTAATTAAAACTTTGTAAAGGTAATAAATCATCACTTCATGTCTAAGATTTTTTCCCCTCAGTTGCTACCTTTTGTTATTTTCTTTATGTATTTTTTTGTGTGTTTTTACAAACATACATAAACAAACAAACCCATTGAATTATGATTTTAAAATGCGACAAAAGTTTTACCAACTTCTCATTCTATACTATATTAAATCTAATCATAACAACACATGTTGTAATGTATCAAATATTTGTACTGAAACATAAAACTTTTGAAAAATACAAATTATTATTTAAAAGATTTTGATGGAGTTTTGTTCTCTGAGCTCGGATTGTTTTGCTCGTGGAGCTTTCATCATTCTTCTGAACGACATCATCAGCACAAACTTCGAGTAGAAATGAAATCTTTTCGAATTTCTCCACATATGGTTCACAGCTTATCCTATTCAGCTCAGAGAACAAAACTCCATCAAAATCATCCACCTGAGCTATAAATCTTCTTCACCATTTATTTAAAAGAATTAGAAAAAAAAACACTTTGAATTATGATTTTAAATGGAACAAACGTTTTACCAACAAGATTTTAATCAGTTCAAATAATAAAACGAGAAAAAGGTTACAATTCATTTTATGACTTCATCTCAACAGATACAAACAAACAAATAAAGTATATATATAGTTGAAATCATGAGTCAATTGAAGCTAGACTACCATGGAAAACCTGGAAGCAATGGACGGCCGTTTCGTCATATGTTGAATCTTAATAAATTATCAACATATTTTGTCATATAATAACCTTTATTTTATCAAAGTTGAAAGCGTGAGTCAATTGAAGCTAGACCACTCACGCTTTCAACTATGATAAATACTAAATCTCCACAAAACCCCTTCTATAATCTTTATTTTGTTAATTTATATTCGTATGTTTCTATTTAATACTCTAAATTAATATGTGAAAGGTGATAAATTAAAATTTTCGATAAATAACAAATAAAATAAATTGTGGTTTTTTTTCGTTTTTTTCTTTTGTTGTTGTTTCTTTTTCTAATTCTTTCAAATAATGGTGGATAAGATTTGTAGTTCAGGCAGATGATGTTGAAGAGGTTTTGTCGTTCAGAAGGACAATGAAAGCTCCACGAGCAAAACAATCCGAGCTCAGAGAACAAAACTCTATCAAAATCTTTTAAATAATAATTTGTATTTTTCAAGTTTTATGTTTGAGTACAAATATTTGATACATTACAACATGTGTTGTTATGATTAGATTTAATATAGTATAGAATGAGAATTTTTCCTACATAGGCTACAGGATCATATTAATGTAGATAGAGGTTCTTTTCTTGAAGGTAGTGTGAACAAGCTTATCAATCCTAATGTTAGTATAAGGAGTGATTGTTGTGATTGTAAATTGAATAAACCAGAGCAAGTCAGTAAAAAGAAATAAGAAATTTCACGATTAACAAATACATAGGGAATGTAGTAAAAATATTTTGAAACACATCTTTACTAAAAACTAAAATCGTGACTTAATTCACTAATAGAAATACATATTTTACGTATACTTTACTATACAAAATGCATTCAAAACAGTTCACTTTCAATCTGTAGTTGTAAAGAACAGATTAGGTTTAGTTTCTTCGTTTTCAATCGCTGACTACTGAAGATTATCTTTATCAGTATTTCATGCTTCTAATAAATGAGTGCTTCTAGGTTAGACACAAACACACAAATGGATGAACATAAAACATAGCTGGCCCCATAAGTTTATTTGAATCAGTTTAAAAAATCAAGTAGAGTATTTAAAAACAAGAAATACCAGAACGAATGATCATCGTTGATAACGTTTTCGCCAGGCTCTACAATTAGAAAGAGGTGTTACTTAATCTATTAATAATACTAATTTTTTCTTACTTGATCGACCATAGATATAACATCAAAGTTGAGGATTCCTTCTTAGTTATACATCAATTCCCCAGTAATTTACCAAAAGGTTCAAAAAACACTTAATTTAAGCAGCTGAAGCAGCTGATATCAATTCGAATAAACCTAACTTGTATATATAAAAGTTATACACAATCTCTCTATTTACCTTCACTGGCGTTATGTCCGTTTCATTCTTAGTCCTAGTTGTGTCCCTTACTTCTTTGTTGTGGTTTACACTCCTTTCCAAGACACTTTTCTGATTCTATATACATTCATCTTTTGTGACCTACAGTGTATTTTTATTAATAATTGTCCTGAATGTGACTATTATTATTATTACTACTGTTGTTACGATCATATAAACCACACCAAAAAATTTACTATCATCTATTAACTTGTTTTCACACACAATGTTTTTATATTACCGAGGATTATATCTGATTTTATGAGTGATTTGTGGTATTAATGACTCAATCGATGTAAAGATTTCCATTTTCAATTTATAACATTGATTACTTCAACTTTAATACTTTCTTTATTGTAACACAATAATAATAGTTTTCGATTCACAATTGCAGAACTTGATGAAGAAGTAAACGAAATCGACCGTTCATTTCATTACCTATTATTCGAGTCACTTTATATTGTATTTGTCGATGGTTCTTAAAGTACATTGGTATTTAAATTTATAGACAGTTATACTTTCATTTCACCGACCTGGGTTCATTTTCTAAAACCACTTACATAAAAAATAATATTCAATAGTGATTGATCTCGGTGTTAAGTATTCTATTTGAAAGAAATAATTCTATTCTGAATGGCTGACCGATTCTTTGATAATCAATAATTCATGGCTTTATTTCAGCAGCTCTGTTTTGTATAAATATACGTCACTCTGCTACTAGTCAAAATCAGTTTCCTTGATTTTCATGGTAGCAATAAATGAGACTCATATATTGATATGTCTGTCATTTTTATGAGCTACGGGCGACAAAGCTTTACGAGTCAATGATATACATATATTTAACATGCGCAATTTGTAAAACGTGAGAGGAACTGAGTGCACCGATCAATAGTGCATTAAAATGTTTCTGTTTGTCTTCTTACTAACCGTTATCATTCGTATATAAATGAGTTCAGTTTTTGCTTTATATTCGTGTAGTTCATGTACTAGTCTTAACTTATTTTATAAACGTTTACGTAAATTACAAGTTTGCGTTGTAAATCTTACACATTAACTACAGAATCTGTTGATGTCATGCACATAGTTTTTATACTTTTGGCTATTGTTTATCAGGATATCTGTAATGAAATAATGATAAATTTAGTGTTTATACTGAATACAAATTGATCTAATATTCAGGGGAAAGATTTTCTGAATCCACAGAGTAATATATTGATTGACTTGGTCCTTGTGAATGTCCGATAATTCACGTATTATTCTTGAAAATTAGTGATTTATTTAAACAAAGATTTGGTTACTTTTTAAATAGTAGTTAAAGATTTAAACGGCTTCTTTAAAACGGAAATATTCTCTTTTTCAACCGATTGATTATATTTTTCTTTTTAGTTATCTTATGACTTTATGATCAGAGATTATACGAAAGCTTTTCCCAATCCTCAAATAACTTTATAATTTGAGTGTTTATTTTATCTATAGTGTAACTTAATTGAAACTTAGATGAATGGTTAAATTGCTTCATAACTTTGTGATTTAAGACTAAAGGAATCTGCTGAATTCAATACAGTGTTTTGGGATTATTGTTAGCATTGCATTAACTGGGATTACCATATTCTCAAATATAATCATTGAATTGCATTATGTTGAAGTGTAAGGTAGCAGTTGGAGGTAGTCGACGGGGTTTCCTGATATGGTGCAAGCGGTGTCGATTCATCTATACTATTAGCCACATTGCAACTTGGTCGACAGAATTCGATCTACATTAAGAAGAACCTGATATTTATGACATTAGTCACCACCGGGTGATCAATCAATTCTATGTACAAATACCGTTACCCATCTATAACAATAATATTTGACACCAACTTCAATAAGCATTAGTAAAATTGAAAAACAGTTATTTCACTCATATGTATGCTTCTTCTTCGTCAATATTACCCACTTCATAAATATTGGGTTATTTAATGTTTTTGTGAGATTCATAATAATTTGTTAGTCAATTGACTGATAATGGCAATAAATGATAAGAAACGATCACTACTGTTTCTACATAACAAAAAGATGTAATATAATAATATAAAGAAAAAGCACAATAATAACATACCAGCTGATTAAATTTGTAGTTTATTTCCCGGGTATTACATCCATATTGCTTATAGTCAGTTGTAATTGTTTTGACTACTGTCGGTGTTGTTTGTGTCGCCTGAATTGATGATGATGTTGTTATAAATTGATAAATACTTCTTGGCGAACCTGATTCATCAGGTGAAATAATTGAGTTATTTAAAGAGTTTTGTATACTGACAAAATTGACATCATAATTATGATCATGATTATTATTATTATTTTTATTGCTTATAGTTGATTTTGATAATAATTCTGCATTATGATTTATGCTTAGCGGATTTTCATTTATACTACTCATAAATTGACCGTGTCCCGGTGAAGCTATATTATAATTTTTCATTGATGATGTTGGAGTGACAGTTTGATTTTTCCAATGATGAATAGGCTCATTCTTCACTTGATTTGCTGATAATAAATAAAGTAAAATAGATGTAGTATTTTCTCTAATCCTTCAAAATGGAACAACATATCTAAATCTTAATTATATCTTTATATCTTTCCAAACAGATTTACCGCATATTCGCCTTTTATTTTGTTCATATTTATTTGAACACATAAATGTTGGTACAAAGAAACGCCGAATGCATAAGCGGCACACAAGTCACTTGATTTGTGTGTGGGTTATGATACTGCCCGGGCGCCGAAACCGAAGCAGATAGTTTTCTAAGGGGACCACACCTGGAGCCCTCAACCTGAATGTCTGATCTACAAGTCAGTGGATCAGCGTCAGGAGATGCAGCCTCATGGTAGCCGATGACCAACAATAGGTTCATATGCCATTTGTTCGTTCAGGATTCTGGAGCCCATGTGCACCATTGGTTTTGAATCAAGGTTTTCCAACTTCCTCAGGTGGATCCTCTATATCCACCAACCCGGTTAAAGAGCCGAAAATTCGCTTTTTGTCCTCCCAATTTCGTAAATAACACCTCTGCAGCGAGAAGGCAGTGAGTAGGACTTTCCTATCAGTGGCTGTATACGCGTGACCATGTAAGGGCATTTCGAGAAGGAGAGCAGACTCTCTTCACCAGGGCATTTGGGTGCTTTTCACAAGCTAAAGATTAAATGGCTACAGGCAACTTACTGTTTAGTACGTTCAGATACACATTTGTGTCAAACTGTTACTTCATAAAAACATTCTACTCTAAAAAAAATATACCTGTTGGTCTACCCATATTTCACATTTAGGAAAAACATACTGAATAAACAAAGTGAGATGCACCGAAAAATATAATATTTTCCATAATATCAGAAGGGGTTTTGTGGAGATTTAGTATTTTCATAATTGAAATCATGAGTCAATTGAAGCTAGACGACCATGAAAAACCTAGAAGCACTGTACGGCCGTTTCGTCCTAGTGTGGGACTCCTCAGCAGTGCGCATCCACGATCCCGCACTAGCGAGATTCGAACCCAGGACCTACCATTGATTAATAAATCTATACTCGTTAAAGACAAATTACAAAAAGAGAGGCAGATAATGAATTATCTGATGTCTTTATGAATTCAGTTCTGAATAAAATGACGTTTATTATCATCCGGCATGACATTTCACTTTTACAAAAAGTCAATCTTAAGAGGATCCAGAATAAGCCATTGATGATTCCACCTGTGAAAAATAACAACTTCATTTTTACTTTTGTAAACATAACGAATGACTAATTCACTGTGATTTATTTTGTGAAAAAAATTAAGAATTTTAGCTACATCGACATTCTGGATCAATTAATATATGACTTCAATCTTGAGGGAACTGGTGCTCCCTGACGGATTCGGTCCTGCGTCACTCAGCTTCACAGTCGAGCCACCTAGACTAATGGCCACACTGCAACTTGATCGACAGCATTTGATCAGCACTAAGACGGACTTGACACGCATGACATCGATCACCACCTAGTGATCAATCAATCGTAATATATGACTTTTCTAATCTGAGGCCTAATCATTCTGTATTCGTTTTTGGAACTGATTAAATCTAATGTTAACAAACGAGTAATGGTACGGTAGGCTCTCAAACAATCTTCGATCTTTGCAAAAACGTTTAGGCATTATTTTTTTCCATTCAGTATACAACAGAAAACTACAGAATAGCAAATATGTCTTTTTTATGAATAAGTTTTCACTGCTTTATTATAGATATCTGTAAACTGGTATATGACTATGAAGTAACCAGATAACTATTTATTTTACACTAGAGTCCGTTTTAAATATCACCTAGCATTGGGTCAGGTTGCTATCTTTTAGACAAATACTAGCATTTTAGTACTCTCAAGATATTCAATTACGTTTTCTACCATTTTTTTAAAAGTGTTAAGTTAGATAAATATCGATTGATACAAGTATTTTCTCACTTATCTGAGAGTACCATAGATATTCAGTTTTAAATGTCATCTGAACATCAACTCTGAAATGCAGGGACATCCAGCTGACGAGTCCCAAATAGGACGAAACGCGTGTCCTGGATTCCATTGCTGGCTACTGTCCATCTTCGCTTATAATAGAGAAATATAGTCTCCTTAACTTAACATAATGTTTCTGAAGAAAGTACAACAAAAAATAATAAGACTGAAAATCGAAATGCTATCGCAAGATTCGAACCCAGGACCTATCAGTCTCGCGCGTAAGCGCTTAACCATGGTCTAGCTTTAATCGACTCATGATTCCAACTATAAAATAAGAAAAATACGTTTTCACATAAGACAAAACACTCTTACAGTGTAAAACAAAACACTTCTTAATAATGAATAGAATAGATTATAACAGAGTTTCTCATAAATATTTTTTGGAAAAGAACAATCTCTAATGAGTTTTGATAACAATAAATCTATCAAGAACTATTAGTTTATGAATTTTTATTGCCTCATTATGTTTGATAAGAAATTGATTTATACTTTATCATTAAGTTTGACAAATCTTTCTTTTTAGAGAGAGTTTGAAAAAAAATTCATTCAACATCTTGGAATTCAGTACTGTCAGTGTTTATTTATTTCCTTCAGGATGAATATGAAATAAATTTGAAGTCGCTTAGATGTTTTCAAGGTGATCATAACATAAACAATAAGTTTGTTCACCTTCTCCCAGAAATACGTAGTTACATTAGTGATTTCTTGATATTCAAAATTGTTTTTCAACAAAGCCTAGTATAATAAGTAAAGGAGCATTTCATTTTGGTATAATGTAGAAGACGGAAACTTTATAGCAGAAGATTTACCGCTTTGTGTCATTATGTGTCATTATCTGACAGTATGTGTACACTTGTCTTATACTATTATAATTAAAAAGATTGTGATATATTATTTGTAAACATTATTAGGCAAAAATAAGTCTTTGCTTACAATGCTTGTGAATTAAGACAATATCGAGGGAATACGCACAGTATGCATATATGCCAATTAGAGACCGGCCAGTTGCAGTCCTAAACATCAAACAAACAATACTAAGTGAATTAAAACAAAATAAGTCTGTTTATGACCTTTGAGTAGCTCCAGCTAAACATTCCATATGCTCATAGTTTTAATTTTCTAACTCCTTCGGTATTAGGTTGTACCAGCTTTTATTTTAAAAAGATGAAAATGATCACTAACTTTCAATTTATATCATTTTCAGTCAACTAAAAGGTAGGTGAAAAATTTCATACAGGATTTCTTTTCAAAATCTGTTTAGTACATATCGAAAACCACTGTAGATCCTATGTTTCTTGAGATTTATCCCGTAGTATTTTTAAACATCTCAATACTGTTCATCAGTGATCCTGTATTTTTTTAATCACAGATGCTTATCACGAACGGTATTTTCGAAACACTATCTATTGAGCGATAAAATAATTTCGGTGATTGGAATTCAAATATTAGATAAAACATTGGTTATAATACACATTTAAACATTCAAGATAGGCGTTTTGTCCTATTTGGGATTCGTCAGCTGGATGTACCTGCATCTCAAAGTTGATGTTCAACGAGAAGGTTCAAATAAACAATATCAAGTGAATTTAAACATCACTCCTATGCACAAGCAAATGGTTATCGGGACTCAGTAACTGTGTAGATAACGCGATGACTTTTGAAGTGAACGGTACTAGGTTCGAGTCCTAGAGGGACATCAACTCTGAGATGCAGGTACATCCAGCTGGCGAGTCCCAAATAGAATGAAACCCGTATCCTGAATTCCACTGCTAGCTACAATCCATCTTTGCTTATGATGCTTGCAAATTAAAGCAATATTGGTGTTCGAATAGATTATGAAGGCCTCGACATCTAAGGGGAAGCATGCAATTCAATGGACAGCTCTCAATCAATTCAAAGATTCGAACTTCGCACATGACCTGGCTCTTCCATCCAATGCACACGAATAAATGCAGATGAAGACAACTAGTGTAGCACCAGTCACTGCATCAATAGGTCTCAACATAAACAGAGGAAAGAGCAAGGTTCTCAAATACAACACGGAGAACACCAAGCCAATCAAACTTGATGGAGAAACTTTGGAAGATGTAGAAATATTCACGTATCTGGTGTGCATCATCGATGAACGTGGAGGATTTGATGCAAACGTGAATGAGAGGATTGGCGACGTAAGGGCCATATTTTTACAATTGAAGAACATATGGAACTCAAAACATCTGTCAACCAATATCAAATTCAGAATCTTCATTGCGAATGTCAAGACAGTTCTTCTGTACGGAGCTGAAACGTGGAGAACTACTACAACCATCATCAAAAACGTACAGTTATTTCTAGACAATTGTTTACGTAAGATACTGAATATCCGTTGACCGGTTACCGCGAGCAGCAGCCTACTGTGAGAGAGAACAAAGCAACTTCAAGCTGAAGAGAAAACTAAGCAAGTACTCTGGAGATGGATGGGATATACATTACAGAAATCATCAAACTACACCACGAGGAAAGCCTTAACTAGGATCCTGAAGGGAAGCGGAAAAGAGGAAGGCCAAAGAACACATTACTCCAGGGAACAGAAGCAGATATAAAAAGGATGAATAGCAACTGGGAAGGACTAGAAAAGATTGCCCAGAATAGAGTTGGATGGAGAGCGCTGAAGGGCGGCCTATGCTCTTTCGCCAGAAGTAACAGGCGTAAGTAGGTAAGTAGCCGATGAAAATCTGATTACCTACTCATTATTTCATCTTTATGTTCTTCTTCTAACCAAAGTTATTAGGAGCAAATAAGCTACACTTATTGTCTGGGAAGTGACTACACAAATTTTGCGATTATTGTTAATGAATAAAATTCATTTCAAATAAATACCTTGAAAGAAAATGTCAGAATATAAGCTATCTCAAGAGAGTATATAATTAAACATTATTAAGACTTATAATCAAAGATGGATAGTGGCTAGCAGTAGAATACAGGACACGCGTTTCATCTTATTTGCGGCTCGTCAGCTGGATGTGCT